AACACCAAAAATAGAATCTATTTCTGCGTACATCCCGTTCCAATCTCATCGAGTAAAAATCATGTTCTTTAAATTGAGGAACAACAGATTGAGGCGAAAAATGAAACTGAAACCGGCATACAGGAGGCAAGTTCTTCTTTAGTGACTATAGCAGATCCTTCCGGCCAGGAACCTCATCAATCTGATGGTTCCAATGGACATGCGGCACCCCATAGCAACTCAGAGGGCTCCCCTAATTGTATTCTGAGATCCGGCAGTTCAGATTCTGGTTCCCCTAATAAAAATGTTTCCCTCACTCGTATCAGGACATCCAGCGGCATATCACAGGGCGTATTCCCATAAATAGGAGAAGCGTGTCTTATCATTGTGTCCCAGAAGATTGCAGCGATGATGAGGTAATTACGACTCATCTAAAATAGAGTTATGAGTTGTACCATAGTGAGGTTATTAGATTGACTTCCACCATTCTGTGCTTATGTCAATATGAATGGTTTCTTTTTTCAATTTTTTTCAGCAGGATGAGCAGCTGTTTCATTTTACACAATCAGACACTGATGATGAAACGGAAATCATCAACGGGGCAGGTATCTTGACTGATATTTCGAGTGAAAATTCAGTTCGAGGAATAACGATCAATATCGACCGAAGCGGAGATAATGATCAGGTTTGACTTGATTGCTTAATTGCAACATTCAAAACCATACGATATTTCAATAATGTTGCAATAAGGATTTCATAATTTCAGATATTAGAGGGCGGTTCTGGCTCAGAAAAATTTAATTTTGATGAAACGTTGTGTTCCTGCACTGATACAACTATTGGAGAAACTCTTCTAATGATCATGTCTATTGGTCTTAGACACACACTACCATGGACAGCTTTAGTTGACATTTGCCAAGCCATCAATGTTCTTTACAATCGACGAATTATCCCTGATACGAAGTATGTGCTTCAAAAGTTTTTCCCATCCCATATTGACAAAGCTACATATCATTTGTATTGTCAAGAGTGTCGGGAATACTTAGGTGAACGTAGACCTGATATCCAAGAAATTGAGTGCGTCTGTGGATATAAATTAATCGTTAACAAAATCGACTCCTATTTTATTGAATTTGATATGGCGGAACAATTAAGGACCCTTTTTAAAAATAATTCGCTTGCAGAAAGTTTAAAATCTCGTTTTAATAGAGAGGAAGCTGATGACAATACCTTACGAGATATCTTTGACGGCGTCACGTATAAAAAATATGTTTCTTCTGGACTTTTAGGTGATTGGAGGAATATTTCATGTACGTTTAATACGGATGGGTGCAAACACGCAAAATCTTCCAAATTAGCTGTGTGGCCGATCTATTTTAGAATCAATGAACTTCCAGAGAACATGAGAGGTAAACATATTCTCATGGCTGGAATTTATTCGTAAAGCCGTTCCTTGACCAATGTAACAGTTTAACGTCGAAGGGATTCAATTGGGTACTGAATGGAGAAAAAATAACAAGTAAAGTATTTTTCAATTGTTGCTCTGTGGATTCGCCAGCTCGATGCGCCATGCTTTGCATGAAATCATTTACAGGATACTTCGGCTGTACACTGTGTTATCATCCAGCAAGGCTAGTGATGAATACTCGAAAGTATCCTATATTAGATTCGGTTCCCCATCCTAAAAACACTGAAAGTATCAAAAAAGAAATGATAGAATCGCTAACGAGATCGAATGAGGATGAAAAGAGAGGGGTCTTAAAACCATCAGTTCTGATGAATATTAAGAATTTTGATCTAGTTGCTGGCATGCCACCCGATTACATGCATTCTTGTCTACTTGGCGTCACTCGGCAATTCACTGAGATGATCTTAACTGGTACAAAGGGAAAATATTATGTAGGTAGTCCAGCAAAAATGTCTCTGATAAATGAACGATTACTGAATATCAAGCCACCAAGCGTAATCCATAGGAAACCAAGGTCTCTAAAGGAATTTAAATTGTGGAAAGCCACAGAATGGCGCTCTTGGCTCTTATTTTATTCTCTGCCTTGCCTTGAAGGTATACTTCCTCATAAATATATTAAACACTGGAGTTTGCTCCTTAGCGTAATGGAAATTTTGTTGAAAGCTGCCATCACACGTAATGAACTCCAGGACGCATGTGAAGTGTTGGTCAAATTCGTTGAAAAGTATAAAAAATGATATGGAGTGTACGAAACGAAATATAATATTCATCTACTCCTTCATTTGTCTCATTCTGTGCAAAACTGGGGACCATTATGGACGCAGAATACCTTTGATTTTGAAAACCAAAATAGAATTCTATTGCAATTCAAACATAGTTCTAGAAGGATTGCCACTCAAATTGCTAATAGGATACTATCATTCCAAAATCTCAATGTATTTTCAGAATCAGTTCATGTGAGCCTTCGAGTACAATCATTCTGTCAGAGTCTCCACAAAAAACAGTTGCGATAGTATTGCAGACTTGATGATCACGTTGTGGTGGGAAACAGAAAGAGCTACATTCTAACTGATGAGGAGAAAAAATGTCTTAACATGCCTATAAAAAGTTGTGACTCTTTTTCTCGTATGATTGTGAATCGAATTCGGTACTCCACCAAAGCATATTGTGATCAATATTGTACAAAAATAGATGATTCTGTGGTTTTATTACATAACAATCAAATAGGTATGATATCTAGAATTTTACAAGTGCAGGCAGATAATAAGGACGTGAACACTATTATTCTACTCTCTCAGATGAAACTCAAAGAAAATTCTCCATCACTTGGTCAGGTTAGTCATATAAATCAATGCGAATTGACGGATCGATTGATTGCTTGTGCCCCAAAGGATTTGAATCATCCATGTGTTTCAATTCCTACAGAAAAGGCACACTATGTTGCAACCATACCACGTGGAGCTTTGATGGATTCATAGAAAAGTGATAACAATGTACTCACTTTCTCATTCTCAATACAACAATAAACTGTTCAATAAATTACGGTGTGTTTTTTCCTGTAAAAACCTTATTTCTGTCGACGCTTATTAACAAACGGTTCATTAGGAGTTTTCCTTTTAACCATCTAATTTCTCGGCATTGATGGAGACAATAGTGTTCCATATACTCGGTATTCCATGAGAGACCCAGTAGACGAATTTGTCAATATATCCGATTATGACATTATTTGACATATTCTGACATTTTCTGAGAATGTCCCCAGCCGGGATGTCTCTCAAAAAATGCCATGACATGACAAAATATGACATATCATCCCTGACAGAATTTGTCAAAAGATGACATAATACACCCGATTATGACATTATTTGAGATATTCTGACAGTTTCTTAGAATGTTCCTAACCGGGATGTTCGTCAGAAAATGTAGTAATGCAACAGAATATGTCATATTATCTCTGACTGAATCTTTGAAAATATGACATAACATGTCTGATTATAACGTTATTTAATATATTCTGACAGTTTCTGAGGATGTTCCTAACCGGGATGTTTGTCAGAAAATGTAGTAATGCAACAGAATATGTCATATTATCTCTGACAGAATCCTTCAAAATATGACATAACATGTCTGATTATAACATTATTTAATATATTCTGACAGTTTCTGAGAATGTTCCTAACCGGGATGTTTGTCAGAAAATGTAGTAATGCAACAGAATATGACATATCATCTCTGACAGAATCTTTTAAAATATAACATGATATGTCAAATTATGACATTAATTGACGTATTCTGATATCTTATGAGAATATTTTCCTGCCCGGCTTTTTGTCGGAAAATGTCATGATATGACATATTATGACACGTTACTTCTCACAAAATCTGTAAAAATATGACATAATATGTCTGGTTATGACACTATTTGACATATTCTGCCATTTTCTGACATTTTTATCAACTTGACATAATATGAGATTTGTCCGACGAAATATGATCACACAAAATTTGTCATTTTATATCACATTCTCTCATTTTATGACAAAAATTGGGAAATTTCTCATTTTATGACAATTTTTGACATTTTCTGTCCAATTTTATCAAAATCTGTCGACCAATTTCCACGAGGGTTCTCGTGAGATTCTCGCCGAGAACCAGTAACTATTAAAAATACGACGTTACAGTACGTATACTCAGATATATGCGAGACCTATATTCCAAGCGATGTGGATATCCCACTAATGGATATTGTACCATTGGACATTGATAATTATAAAGACGGACAATTACAAATACGGATTATATACATCCGTATGTAATACGGATGAAAGTGAAGGTATTTTCGCCGCATATTTATATGCGGTTACTACGTACGCAATTTCAAACGATCGAGATAGATAGAAGGCATAAGTGTGGAGCACCCACACCATTTGAACACGAAACGTTAACTGTAACGCTTTATTTCAAGCTGACCGAATAAAACTGGATTATGAATACCTACATTATCGACGCGATAACTCAATCTGGAGGAGGATACAGCACAGGTGTACATAGAGGTATAAACCGTGTATGCATAGGTAGTGCTAATCGAAAAGAGCATGGTATTAGTTTCCTAGGCGGTTTGCTCGTTGTAAGGAATTGTAAGGAGAGTAAAGTTATAAGGAGAGTATACCAATGGCCTGCAGTAATTCGAATTCGTCTGTAATTATTCAATACGAGGGCTTCGTCGGGATCCATGGTACCTTCGTACCGAAAGAAGTGGCAGTGACCTCAACATCGTCCGATATGATAGGCCATTGGGTCATTTACCCTGAATACCAGTATTCGGCGATTCCACCTAATATTCAGAGAATGAATAATCAGCTCGCAATCACACGTCACGGTATTTTTTTTTTAACTTGGTTTTTATTTATATAACACATCTCTATTTACAGTTGTCATTCTAAAAACTAGTCTTAAAAAAATTATGTAAACGATTGTATTGGTTTTTTAACTTTGGCCGTGTAAGGCTCTCGTGTTAATACGATATTTTAATATGTTATTATTATTTTTATTTCGAGACAGTATTTGTATATATGACAATAATTTTTACATTTTCGATATATTAAACCTTGTATGCCCCAAAAAATAGGAGAGTTGAATAAAAGTTTTTACTTTTATTTTGGACTTTTGTGTAAAAAAGGGCTTCTCTTTATTTATCCAAGGTGTTGAGGGGGGAAAGGGAAAGGAAGGGTGATGAAGGGAAGAGGGGAGGGGAAGAGGGAAGGTGGAGTGTTGCTATTTTCATCACTTAAGTATTATGGTGGAGGATGAATTCCAGCGAAATAGGGGTATATGCCCTAGTTTCGTCAGGGTGGCACTGATTTTAATCAATAGTATTACTCATTTGTTAATTTCCAAGGAGGGCGAAATCTGTGTTTACGCCTTCTTTTTTGCCTATTGTTGTTTATTATTAAATGTGAATTCTTGAATATTTTTTCTCTATTCTTGATTTCAGTAAAATACTTGGAGTCAGGTGTATACCACCAATACTCGTTATTGATTCTATAAAAATCATTTTTATCAGTTTCAGGGATGTCCCTGGAATAAGTGAACTTCTGATTTTCAAAATTATCGACCGGGATACGTTTATTTTTTTTATGTCGTTGCAAATGAAATAAGACGGGCCTGTTCATTGCATCCTGGAATGTGGGGTGAAATATTGGGGTTTAATGTTTCCGCATCTCGCTCGTCCCACAGCTTCATTGCAAGGAACCTCAGATAGGGAATTAATGGTGGGATTACCTATTTTTTTTAAGTTATTGTAATAATTTCTAGATAGTTTAAGGATGAAATTATTAATGCGTGGGATTTCAGCTTGATTATATAATATTTTATTACTGACGTAGTGATAATAATCGGTATGTTCTGAACGGAAAAGTGATAGGGCAGATCGGAGACAACTTCTCTCAAAGGATCTGAGGTTCTCCATTTGGGCACAGTTCCGATTACTTTGGCGCCACAGTCTGATGGTGGTTTCCCGTAGTATTTTGTCTCGCGAGTTCGAGAAAAATAATGAAAAAATTCCCTCTACACTGTATTTCGAGATATAGAGGGAAAAAGGGGCAAAATGGACCTCTTTTTTTTGAAAAATATTGTTTATATTTTATATATCACTAAATAAATCTAAATCTATAATATCATCTTATATGAAAATTTCTAGCCTTTTTGTGGTCGTTAGATACTATTCCACATAAATGTTCAAGGGTTGGACTTTTTTGTGGTTAACAATATTTATTGTTATAAAAGTCAGAACAATATAACAAACAACTTAAATGATATAAAAGGATTTATGAGAACGATATGCTACAGCTGTCGTCAGTCAGCGAGGCTGCGAGGCATAAGCTTCTGTTTTCTCTCTCGAGGGATCGTGCGAGGTCGCTCAGTGGGTTGGAC